GTCCTCTGATGCCTTCCTTTAGGGGTTTAGCCTCTGTCTTGTGCCTGGGTTAGTACTTGAGGCCATTGCTTTACTGCTACTTTGCTTTGCTATGGCAATTGGTGAAATTTCGGAGGACATTTGCTGAAATTTTAGTTGAGCCAAGTTTCCTTTTGACTGTGAGTTGAGATTCTTATTACTTTGGGTCAGCCATTGGAATTGCTTCACTAGTAGCTTCTCCTCGATTTGTTCTGCCCCTGGACTACCTTTGCTGGATTTCGAATATTATTAGTGCACTAACTTTACTTCTCAATTGTGCGTTGGGGATCACTGGCGCTTACTGAATTGCATCTGCTGAGGTTTTGTGATTGGGTTGTGATTTTTTCAATTTCTAAAATGCTATCACTGGTATGCCATATTATTGGGGCCCTTGTTACAATTTGACTCCATTGGGTGGCACGTTCTCTTTCTTGGGGTTGGATTAACATTTGGGGCTATTACTTTACTACTGTTCTACTCTGCTATAATAATTTCATAGATTTTGGCCTACGTTGTGCACCAGTGGTACTGGTTGGGGTATTTTGACTAATATTTGTTCTTTCTAATGGGTTGGCTGCCTGATTAAAAAGGGAAAACTTGTGATTGTGTGGTTATTGTCTAATTTCTATACTGCTATTGCTGGAATTGCCGCTTCTGAGTTGAAAATTAATTATCCACTTGGAGACTTTGTTGAGATTTTGGGTGGACAGAGTTGTGCATTTACTGGTTGGATTGAGTTATGATGTCTCAGACCTTGGCCACGTACTTCTACCACATTGGTTTCCTCCACCGCCCCCGCCTACCTCTTGGCCACTCAAAGAGGGAAGTTTCGTTGTCCTCTTCACTTTCATTACTTTATTACCTCCATTGAGGACAATGTAGGATTTAGGTGTGGGGGGGGGGGGAGCAATTATGGTGCTGGTGTCTTTCGTTCATTTTCTTTTTCTTCTTTTTAGTGATTGGCTCGTAAATGCATGTCAAGGTTTGATGTTGGATTATTGCCTCTATTTCTACTTTTGCCAAGTTTTAATAATAAAAGGGTATCAAGTTCATGTGGTTGAATCCAAAAACATCTCTTTGGTGAATATCGATGATTGTTTTACTCTTATAATTTTTAGTTAACTTTCCTAGGCATAGGGAATGATTATTGGCATTTTCATGTGAATTGGTCCGGTTATTAACTTTAGTTCTCCATGTTTGAAAATGAGGCTAGCTGATGCAAGTTTTCTTTTGGTTCTTGTGTTATATTGAGTTTTTGTGATTTTTAGCTATGAATAAACTTGACTGTACTCCGCTAGTATTTACTACCGAGTAACCGGGGATTTTCACCAAAAGTGTCGATTCTCGCGTCAAAAAGTAGTAATTGCTATGAGTACGTGGTCACGTGGCGATAGAAGCTGAGTAACCGGGCTCCTTCATCCGGCCAATGTTGAAGTTCGCGTCAAAAGGCTCAAATGGCTAGCGACTAAGTCTTTTGTTACTATTGAAAAAAAAAAAAGAGAAAAAAAGAGAGAAAAGTAGGAAAAAAAATATGAAAAAAAAAGTGAAGGTTGTGTTAGTGTGTAATAAAAGTCAGCTTGCCGAATTATGGATTTAATGTTGAGATTTTGGTTAATAGTTGGACCATTTGCTGATAAATGTTATGCGTTATTCCTTTTTCTTAGATTAGTTAACATGAAATTAGAGGAGTTTGTGGTTTAGAAGCTAACCGAGATGATGTTTCTTGGACTTGACCATTGATTCTTGATTATTATTTTTCTTGGTACCTTGGCAATTTGTTGGATAGAGCAATGACCATTATCAAATTTTGGTGTCTGTGTACTTTTCTTATGCTTGAAAACAAGCATGGTTTAGGTGTGGGGGGAATTGATAGGTTGCAATTTTATCATTTATTTTATTATTAATTCCTCCTATTACTTGACTTGATGTGGATTAATTGCTAGATTCTACTCATTTTTTATATTTCGCATTTATTTCAGGGAGTAGAACGAAAATACCATAACAAGTGTCAATTTGACAATTATCAAGAAAGAGTTCAAGTAGCAGGCATCTAGGGACATTTTTGGAATATCAAACCGCAACCCTTCTTGGTAATTGGCCCGAAGACAACATTAAAAGGGGGAGGCCGAAGTCTTCTTTTTCCTCTCTCGGCTGGGCGGCGGAAGCCGCGCAGTAGCCATTAGAATAGGAGCAATAGCTTAGCTTTTGATTTCTCATCTTTTAGTTTAGTCTTGCTTTTGATTTTTCCTTTGTAGTCTTTTCTTACCTTTTTTGGTTTTCTTCTTACGGATGTCAGGAGCCAATGTGGCTTTTGTTGACTTTTCTTGTTAGCTTTATAGTATCTTCTCCTTTGACATGTCAACGGCAATTGAGAGATTGAATCACTTTCCGTAGTTTCTCGTTTTTCTTTATTCCTTCGGCCGAGTTGAATTCGCGCGAGCACGAACAATGGCCGCAGCTGTTGTTACAATTTTGCATGGGTTTCCCTCATCAATAATGAGCTAAACCCTCTTTCTAGTCAAGGAGCAATGGATGCTTTGATTCATCTAAAAACTGTGAGATCGATTTAATTTAATCTTCTCCTTTTATTTATTGGTAATTGCATATTCCTTGATTGCTAAGCTTATGGTTATTTAATTAATTGGTTGTCTTGGATCCGGATAATTAATTGATTGGGTAATCTATTGTCAATTGGGGTATTAAATCCGTAATTGTTTAATTACCTCAAAATAGTGACAACTGGCACGATTAGATTCGTGTCAGGGGGATACGCGGGCTAATTTAAAATAACCCTGGTAGTGCGTTATTTGGTTAGAATAGGGCTCCTCTAATACGTAAGGCAATTGGGGAATTAAATTCTACGGGCGTACCTAGGATTATTTCTCAATTAGAGCAGTGATTAACGGGCGTACCTTGATCACCGACACAGTAAGGAGGGGTTGATTGCCATCGCTTGTTTGGTAGTTATAACCTATTTATTGATAAATAATTGGAATTGCCTTTGCTTCAATGATCAATTAGGTGAACCATTGCTGAAGTTATTCCTTGGCTAGATCCTTAATTATCACTCATTAGATTTTAGTAATTTGTTATTTAATTTTTAGTAGTTTCTTAGATTTTAGTTGAATTTCTTTGATTGTCACATTCTGCACAAAAACACCCCCTTGTTACTGTGAACTTGAGAAGAAATAATTACTCCCAGTCCCTGTGGATTCGACCCTTCTCACCGCTATCTACAGAAATCACTTTTAGTTTGAGCAGGTTTTATTATTGCACAGGCTTCGACAACCTGTCAAAGTTGAGCGCCTGTTCCGACTGAGATATCTTAACCTGTCAGGTAACATATTGAGTGGAGAAATCCCAGTTAATCTAAGCCGTTGCTCGCTGATGAGAACCATTGATCTGTCTAAGAACACACTTCAGGGCAGGATTCCTGCTCAGCTAAGCAATTTGCAGAAGCTTGAAAGTCTTTATCTTAGTAAGAACAATTTGGCAGGACAGATTCCATCCTCGATAGGGAATATATCGTCATTGATGCAGCTCACTCTCGCGTTTAACAATTTCGAGGGCAATCTGCCCCAGGAGATGGGCTTTTTAACCAGCTTATCTAAATTAGGAGATGGAACAAATAACCTGTCTGGTGAGATCCCTCTCTCTATCTACAACATCTCAGCTCTTATTATCCTTTCACTAACAAATAATGACTTCTATGGAACTCTTCTGACCAACGTTGATCTCCTTTTACCAAATCTGCAGTATTTGTGGTTGGGTGGAAATGAATTCTCTGGCAAAATTCCAATTTCAATCACGAATATTTCTGGGCTTATCTCACTTGATCTTCCGGTCAATAACTTTAGCGGGGAGGTTCCAACCAGTACAGGAGATCTGCCATTCCTGGAAACTGTAAACCTTGAATGAAATCTCTTAGGTAGTAATTCGGTGGGAGACTGGGATTTTCTTGCATCATTCACAAACAGCAGCAACACAATGTCTCTTGAAGTGAACCATAATAACTTTGGAGGCAAAATACCTAAAGTCATGGCAAACCTATCCTATCAACTTACTAAATTAGGCATCGCAGGAAATCAGTTATCAGGAACTATCCCAATAGGACTTGGAAATCTTGTCAATTTGTATTCCTTGGACATGTCAACTAACTCTCTTTCAGGTCCAATTCCAGGTGATTTTGGCAATCTTACAACTTAAAATATTTGAGCCTAGGAGAGAACAAGTTTTCAGGAGAGATATTATCCACTCTAAGTAACATTACAACTCTTTCTGATGTATACCTGTCAAACAACAAGTTTTGAAGGCAATATATCCGGGAATCTAGAGAAGAGTAAGAGTTTGCAATTCCCGGATGTATCTAATAGTGACCTAGGTGGCATCATGAACCCACAATTTTTCAGCATTCACTTGTCACTAATATATCTGGACTTGGCACATAATTCACTGAGTGGGCCTCTGCCTCTCGAAGTAGGAAGGTTGAACCACTTGGAAGTATTCAATGTTTCATACAACAAATTTTCAGGACAATTACCTCCATCCATTCTTGACTGTCTAAACTTGCAGCATCTTCACATGCGGACCAACTTTTTCCCGGGAACAATTCCACCAAATTTGGCTTCTTAGAAAAGTATCCAGCAATTAGACCTCTCAAGTAATAACCTGACCGGACAAATACCAAAAGAAATCGAGAAGCTTCAATCTTTGAAGTATTTGAACCTTTCTTATAATAACCTTGAGGGCAAGATACCGAATACAGGAGTTTTTGAAAATGCAAGCCAGATAGCATTGATTGGAAACAACAAATTTGTGGAGGCATTCCTGAATTATCTTTTCCATTCTGTCTTGCGATGAAGGGCAAGAGCAAACTAAAGCTGAAGCTTGTTATATTTTTGTCCACAGTTTCACCAATGATGATTTTGGTTCTTGGTATGTTGATTTTTCATTTTGTGATACATGGCAAAAGGAGCAGAGGAATGGTCAGTTCCTCGACAATGCTAGCAAGAATGGACAAGCTGATAAAAGTTTCTTACCACGAACTCCATCGTGCGACTTCAGGATTCTCTCCAGAAAACTCAGTCGGATCAGGAAGTTTTGGGATTGTGTACAAAGGAAGGCTAGATGAACATGGCAATAGGGTTGTTGCAGTTAAATTTCTTGACCTTCGAAAAAATGGGGCTTCGAAGAGCTTCAAGGCTGAGTGCAAAGCATTGAAAAACATCCGCCATCGAAATCTTGTTTCAGTACTAAGCTATTGCTCCAGCATCGATTCCAGAGGTAATGAATTCAAGGCCCTAGTCTATGAGTTCATGGAGAATGGAAATCTTGACTCGTGGTTGCATCCAAATACAGCTGATGAGCCAACAGGATCAAGAAATCTTAATCTCCTCCATAGGCTAAATATTGCAATTGATGTTGCTTTAGCTTTGCATTATCTTCACAACGATTGCATAAAGGAAGTTGTTCATTGTGATCTAAAGCCAAGTAACATTCTTCTTGATAATGACCTCGTTGCTCACTTGGGAGATTTTGGATTAGCAAGGCTTCTTCCTAGCACCATCAATACTTCTTCAGATCAAGGAACTAGCAGTCTAGCAGTACCATTCCAATACAAGGAACCATCGGCTATGCAGCTCCAGGTAATATTGTTGCTACCTTCTGTTACCAAAGTTTTAAACGTAGAATCTTCAAAACATGCTGACGAGGGGACAGGGTGATGCTACTTGAAGTTTTTCTCAATTTAAGATTGCAATAAATGTCAGATTAACCATGTATATACTGACAGTAAATACACTAACATCCTTACTTACATGCATGTCAATTAATTCGAATTTAAATTTTAACTTTATTATTATTATTATAGTTATTTTTGTATATGTAGCATACGTGTGATTTTTAAAAAATATATTTTTTTGCTAATTTACATAGAGGTTAACAATCATGAGTACCAATAAGCATGGATTTGGAGTTATTTTGTCCGAAAAAGTGTTAATGTTTTACATGCGCTTGAGGATCAAAACAAAATCTCAATAATCCACCAAAACATAACCTCAAACAAGCACCTGAATTTTGTTTCCCTTTCTAGAATAATTTGTTGATGGATGAGAAAATCAACTTAAGGAAAAAAAAAGGAGTAATTTCTTAGTTTGTGATTTCTTATGGCGTGACACAAAAATTTTTATCTAAAATTTTCAGAGCACGGAATGGGCCATCAAGTTTCGACTCAAGGGGATGTTTATGCCTACGGGATTCTTTTTCTAGAGATGTTTACAGGAAAGAGGCCTACGGATGATATGTTCATGGATGGATTGGATCTGCAAAACTATGTTCAAAGATCTTTGCCTGAACATGTTTGTGTGGTTATTGACCCTTTACTTCTTTCAAATGGACAAGTTACTGCAGAAGTGGAGGACAAAGGGATGGAATGCATAGCTTCAGTTTTGAAAACTGGGGTCAATTGCTTTGCAGCATTGCCAAATGATCGAATGGCTATGGGATGAGATAGTAAGGAAATTACATCGCCTTAAAGATGGTTTTCTTCGTGCCCAATTGAACAGACCAAATTAATAAACAACTGCAACTGTCTTTTAGCAATAGTTAGCATCGGGACATGTGTATTATATAGTATTTGGTTTGTTAACTAAAACCTTTTGAAATTTTTTTTTATCAATTTTTTTTTTCAGAAATACACAAACAGAACCTAAAACCTTTTGATTGTCCTTGTCAATTGGGATGATAAATAATGTTATAGCAGTTAGATGTTTTTATTAAGGGCAAATTACGCTTTACCCCCTTGTGATTTAGTGTTTTTCGTATATAATCCCCTATAATTTCAAAAGTTATACATAACCCTCTCATGGTTTGGATCAAAGTGTTAAACTAACGGAATTTGCAATCCATGACAGAGTCATCTAAAATTCAAAAATACCCCCTATGTAAAATTGAAAATTATTTATTAACCACAGGGTGTTGTGTGTATATTTTAAAAATTATAAGGGGGTCATATGATAAAGTATTAAACCACAAGGGGTTATATGGTAACATATAAAACCATATGAGGTTAGTGCGTCACGTATATTATGTTTATGTATTTTGGTCACCCTTCACCCATTTTAATTTTTAAACAAGGGTAATTTTGACATTTTAAAAAGTTTCGTTACAAATAATCATTTCCGTTACTTTAACACTTTAATCCAAGTCATGAGGGGTTTATATATAGCTTTTGAAACTATAGGGATATTACGTAAAAAACACTAAATCATATAGAAGGGTAAAATATAATTTGCCCTTTTATTAATGAACTCAACACAGAGTTGCCTATTTGAATGTCAACTCCTTGTAATTTCTTCTTTCACTTTGAACTTTTGTGTCGTGTACTAAAACTTTTTTACACAAACATGTTTATTTATACAATGCTCTCAAGAAATTTGTGATTAAATAGTATACATTTTGCTTCATTTCTTTTCACTTTTTCCATGTAACAACAGTACTAGCCTACTGCTATAAAAAATTCGAAATCTCCCAACACACAACAAGGTCAAGGAAGAATGGAGATGACAAACGGAACCCCTCCCAACCGCCCACTTCCAGCAGGAAGAACCTCATGGAGCTCCCTCTGGCCAACTTGACAAAGATGGGGCCGTTAATTGTTGAAGACGATAAGAGCAAGAGGGCCGGAAAAGTTAAAATCACAACTCAGCAGAGCAGACAAGTGATTGAAAGCTTTGGATCTTTCCTAGAGCGGACGAGCATTGTGTTTTAGTGGCATGTAGGCTTAAAAAGCAAGTCAAAGAGCAACAACTTGGCCCTTCCCAGTTATGGTATAATGGACCATCTCTAGCACTAGTATTTGTGGGGCACCATCTCCAGTATAATAGACTGAGAAAGCTAGGGGGTGCGTTTACATTGCAATATTTGGAAGTTATTTGGGAATTTTTCAAGGAAAAACGACCTTATAATACTTTACTAAAATATGATGTATATAAGTCAAAAACAGGTGATTGAAATAATTGTTGAATGAATATTCCTCAAAAGCTTCAAAACCCTGGAGTTCAACCGATCCACCGGTCACATAATGGACTAGTGGTCATCAGGAATTGGAATATGTGGTACAAAATGTGAATACGTGATCCACTTTCTCAATTCATTTTTGTCCTAAATTGGAATAGCCTTCTAGTAGTGTTCACATTGATTTTAAATCAGTTATTGATTTGGTTTTTTATTCATAAAGTGGCTCTTCATGTCTTAAAATTTCGCATTTTGTAGAAACATTTGGATGTCAAAATAATTGAACAAAGGCCGAATTGTGAATACTGTATTACAGTGCACACTTCCGAATGCAATGTCTCTCATTACCAGGTGCCATCCTGGTTTGTTAACACCATCTAGTTAGCCGCCAGAAGAGTATTCCTATATCTTGTTTGGCTATATATATATATATATATATATATATATATATATATATAAACAGCAACATTGATGAATGTTTACATTAAAACATCAAGTATCAGCTAGCTGCTAATTCTTGCCTCATTCCTTCACAAAAATGGAGCCTCAAACTATCATGTCTTGGGGGTTTTGGTCGTTATCAAGAAGCATTTTGCTTCTCTTTCTAGTCTTAGTTGCCATGAATTTGTCAGCAAAAAGTAATGCTTCAGCAGTTGATGGATTTCGTAATGACACCGATCAACTTGCTCTGCTTGAATTCAAACAGCAGATACTTGATGATCCGCATGGAGTGCTGAGCTCCTGGAATCATTCTGAGCACCATTGTCAATGGCAAGGCATCACATGTGATACTCAACATCAGAGAGTCACAGCCTTAACATTGGCTGGCAAGAGCCTGTCCGGAACCTTGTCTCCACATATAGGAAATCTCAGCTTCATGAAGTCTATCCAACTCGGGGGAAATCTGTTCCATGGTGAGATTCCACCAGAAATCGGTCGCCTGTTCCGGCTAAGATTTCTCAATTTGTCAAGAAACACCTTCAGTGGAGAAATCCCTGTTAATCTGAGCCATTGCTCACAGATAACAACCATTAGTCTATCCAGGAACAGATTACAAGGGAAAATTCCTGCTGAGCTAGGCAATCTGAAGAAGCTTGAAAGTCTTTATCTTTCAACTAACTATTTGACAGGAGAAATCCCTTCATCCATTGGGAATCTGTCATCATTGATATCACTCTACCTTGTATTCAACAATTTGGAAGGGTTTCTGCCAAAGGAAATCGGCTGGCTAACAAGATTGTCTGAGCTAGTTGCTACTACAAACCAGCTATCAGGTACGGTACCTGATTCCATCTACAACATCTCTACGATGACTAACTTTTTACTAGGAGGCAATTTCTTTCATGGAAGCATTCCAACCTACATTGGTCTCACTTTCAAAACTCTGCAAACACTGTCTCTTGGGAAAAACAATTTCTTTGGTCGTATTCCAGTTTCGATCACCAATATTTCTGGGCTCAATGCACTTGATCTTTCAGACAATAAATTTGAAGGACAAGTTCCAATTAATATTGGAGATCTATCGAATCTTCAATTCTTCAATCTTGGAGGGAATATCTTGGGAAGTAATTCCACGAGGGATTTGATTTTCATTTCATCATTAACAAATAACAGTAATCTAAGGACTTTTGCCATTGACGGTAATAATTTTGGAGGCACAATACCTAAGGTCCTGACAAACCTTTCATATCAACTCACTGGATTAGGCATGGGGGCAAATCAATTAGCAGGAACTATCCCTGAAGGATTTGGAAATTTCTTCAATCTGTATGCTTTTGATATGTCATCCAACTATCTTTCAGGTGAAATCCCAAGTGATTTCAGTAAATTTAAGAACTTGCAATTTTTGGGTCTAAATCAAAATAGGTTGTCAGGGGAAATATTGTATAACCTGTGCAATGTAACCACTCTATTCCATCTGGATTTATCAAGTAACCTGTTTGAAGGCCACAATATAGTTGGAAATATCCTTATGAACTGTCAAAACTTGCAAGAGCTGGACATATCTCAAAATAAACTCAGTGGTGTTATACCACCGCTTTTTTTTGAGATGCACGCCTCACTAGTATATATAAACATGGGGAATAACACATTCAATGGATCTCTACCTCTTGAAGTAGGGAAGCTGATCCACTTGGTTGTTTTCAACATTTCCTACAATATGTTTTCTGGGGAAATACCTCCCTCACTTGCTGATTGCTTAGACTTGGAGCATCTCCGTATGGAAGCCAACTTTTTCCATGGAATGATACCATCCAAATTGGCTTCTTTAACGGGCATCCAAGAAATAGATCTGTCAAGTAACAGCCTGACTGGACAAATACCACGAGACCTAGGAAAACTTCAATCACTGAAGTACCTGAATCTGTCCTATAATGACCTTGTAGGCGAGATTCCCACTTCTGGAATTTTTGCAAATGCAAGCCAGGTAACGTTGATTGGCAACCACAAACTTTGCGGAGGCATTCCCGAATTAGCTTTACCAACTTGCCCCATGATCAAGCCAAAGAACAATAAGAAGTCTAAGGTCATTGTAGTGTTGTCAACGGTTCTACCAGTAATGGTTTTGGCTATTGGTACAATTTTTCTGTATTACGCGGTACACCAGAGAAGAGATAGAAGGAAGAAAGATTCATCTACCATGCACACGGGAGGTGAAAAGCTCTTAAGAGTTTCTTATTTTGAGCTCAAGCATGCAACTGCAGAATTTTCTGCTGATAACTTAGTTGGATCAGGAAGTTTTGGCGTTGTTTACAAAGGCAGGCTAGATCAACATGCAAACAGGGTTGTTGCTGTTAAAGTTCTTGACGTCCAAAGAAATGGGGCTTCCAAAAGCTTCAAGGCTGAGTGTAGAGTATTAAGGAACATTCGCCACAGAAATCTAGTTTCAATCTTGACTTACTGCTCCAGCATAGATTCCAACGGTCACGAATTCAAGGCTGTAGTGTACGAATTCATGGAAAATGGAAGCCTTGACATGTGGTTGCATCCAGAGTCTGCTGAAAGAATGAAATCAAGAAATCTAAACTTTCATCAAAGGTTAAGTATTGCATTGGAGGTGGCTTCTGCCTTGGATTATCTTCACAACCACTCTGAGGTAGCAATTGTTCATTGTGACCTTAAACCAAGCAACATTCTTCTGGACAAGGACCTTGTTGCTCATGTGGGCGATTTTGGATTAGCAAGGCTTCTACCTAGAAACACTATAAGTTCTTCCCAAGAGGGAACTAGCAGTTCTGTTGTACTAAAAGGAACCATTGGATATGCAGCTCCAGGTAATTATCCTTCTAGCTATATCTGCGTAATAAAGTCTTGTATGACAGTTTTCAATTTTTTTGTCCTACCAAAAAGTGTTATTTATCTATTAGATGAGATAAGATTAAAGCATTCATGTTATTAGTACAATGGAAATGAGGGGCTCATACAAAATGTAAATTATCTATTACAAGAGCCATAAATTCTTTTTTATTTGCTATGCTGTTGATCAGAATCAATATTTTCAGAGTATGGGTTGGGGCTGGAGGCATCAACTCAAGGGGATGTCTACAGTTATGGCATGCTTTTGCTAGAGATGTTCACAGGAAGGAGACCAACGGATGCTGCATTTGTCGATGACTTGGACTTGCATAACTGTGTTAAGATGGCTTTGCCTGAACAAGTTTGGAAGATCGTGGACCCTTCACTCCTTCCAGAAGAAGTAGAACAAAACAGACAAATATATCAGGTTGATGCAGGGGATGAGGATATAGGTTTGTCAGGTGATATAAACAAGGTGCAAAAATGCCTTGTTTCGATCTTTCAAGTTGGACTGGGATGTTCCCAAAAATCATCCAAAGATCGCATGGACATGAAACAAGTCGCAAGAGAATTGCATCTCATCAGAGATGCCTTTCAAAGATGTTAATTAGATTCCTGCAGTCAGTGGAGCTTTTGAAGTACTTCTAGAGAATCAAATTAGTACTGATAAATTGCATTAGTAGAGTTTGGAATGCATAAAATGCATCAATGTTTTGATCATTGCTGAGCTTTGATAGATGAGGATTTTCCTTTTCTGTCTGTTTTTCTGCTGCAAAAGCAGCCGATAATCTAGTGAGACAACAGCAACTCCAGAATAAGCTCAATTCACTAAAGCAGCCGATTGGAAACAGAGGCAAGTCTAAAAATTAATCATCTGTGAAATTGAAAAAGATTACTACCCAGAAAATCATTTCTTAAGTTATTTTATATCTATAAAGAAGAACTCCAATGAGATTTTTGTTTAGTGATGAAGATTGAAATCAGGGATTTCAAATCTCACCATGATCAATTTATAGTTCTGACCCTTAATTGCATTTGAGTCAACAAGAATTGGTCCCTCGGAACACTTGGACCAGTCAAACTCATAGCTCACCAATCGTGCGCAGTGTGGAAAGGTTTTTCAAGTCAGTAAGTGACCATTGTCCGGATAACAATGATGATATTTCACAATGCGCACGATCTTAAATTGGTATTGCACAATTAGTTTTTTTTTTTGTTTTTTATTATAAAGTTATATATAAAAAAAAAGAAGAAACACAATAGTAGAAGTAATATAATTAATCAAATAATTTATAAATAAAATACTACGAGTCAACTCAGTATTAGTGGAAGAAAAGACTCGCTAGTAGTGAGATTTAAATCAAGAATTTCATAAATTAGTTAAGTCATTTAAATGTCATACACATCATCTATTAGTATTTCAATTACTTGTACAAGTAGGTCTAAAATGTGGCGCATGGTCACTTGGACCGAAGAGATTGAACCAGATTTATTTATTAATTTAGTGGCTAAAATTGAGATTTTAAAAATTAAAAATTTTACGTTTAATTCTCTCTTCCCTCCACCCCTTTTTTTTTTTTTTTTTAGTTTCTTAAATTCCATCCTTTCTCGAGTTTCATCCTAAAATATGCCAAGATATTAAGTCCCATTTGTTCCAACTGTTTGGGCTTATATAAGCAGAACTACAAGAATCTGTAACAGCTCAAACATTGTTCCCATTCCACAGAAACTTTTATCATTCAACCATCAGTTTGTTGCAAATTAATCCATCTTTGCCTTCACAGCCCATCGAAATTCCAAATACCATGTGGGGATTTCGCTCATCGACATTAGCGAACATTTTTCTCTTCCTCTCAGTTGCCATGAACTTTTCAGTAAGCCATGTTTCGGCTTCCAAAATATTTCAAAATGAGACTGATCGTCTGGCTCTGCTTGAATTCAAGAATCAGATATATGATGACCCGTTTGGAGTGCTGAATTCCTGGAACCATTCACAACACCATTGCCAGTGGGAAGGAGTCACTTGTGGTACTCGACACCCAAGGGTCATAGCCTTGACTCTACGGCATAAGCAGTTGTCTGGCACCATATCTCCTCATGTCGGAAATCTAAGCTTCATGAGGTTCATGGAACTTGGGGGGAATCAATTCCATGGTGGGATTCCCCAAGATTTTGGTCACCTCTTCAGGCTAAGAGTTTCGAACCTGTCAGGAAGCGCACTCGGTGGAAAAATCCCAGCAAACCTGAGCTACTGCTCAGAGTTGATAACAATTAGCCTGAGGGGGAATAAGCTGGAAGGGAAATTTCCCATTGATCAGCTAAGCAATATGAAGAAGCTTGAAAATTTAAATCTTTTGTCAAACAATTTGACGGGACAGATTCCCTCTTCCATTGGGAACTTATCATCATTGATCCGAATCGGTCTCGACTTCAACAATCTGGAGGGAAATTTGCCCATGGAGATGGGGCTCTTGAAAAGGTTGGTTCTATTAGGAGTCGCTGGAAATAAACTATCTGGTATAATCCCTGCCTCTATCTTCAATAATTCAGCTATTATGATCATTTCAGCATCCGACAATTCCTTTCATGGCAATCTCCCAACCAACATAGGCCTCACCCTGCCAAATCTGAATGCATTAGGTGTTGGGAAAAACAAGTTCTATGGTAACTTTCCAACTTCAATCACAAATGCTTCCGGGCTCGAGGTACTTGATCTTTCCAAAAATAAGTTTGCAGGCCAAATTCCAACTAATTTAGGAGATCTGAAACAACTTCAAATATTATATCTTAATGATAACCTCTTCGGCAGTAATTCTACAGGAGACTTGGATTTTATTGCATCACTGACCAACTGCAGTAATCTCAGAATTACTGACTTGGGGGGCAATAAATTTGGAGGTAACATACCTAAAGTCACGGGCAATCTATCAAATCAACTTACAACACTCTACCTAGGAGGAAACCAACTATCGGGAACCATCCCAGAAGGATTTGGAAATTTTTTCAACCTATTTGTACTTGGCCTTCAAGAAAACATTCTTTCTGGGGTCATTCCAAGAGATTTTGGCAAATTACAAAACATGCAAGGTTTGAGTCTGCACCAAAATGAGTTGTCAGGACAGATAGTCTCTACTCTATGTAATGCCACTGCTCTATACTATCTGGACTTATCATTTAACCAGTTTGAAGGGGGCAACATATTTGACACTGTTCTTATGAACTGTCAAAATTTGCAGTATCTGGATATATCTCACAACAAATTCACTGGAATTATATCACCACAGTTTTTGCAGACGCACTCATCACTGACGTACTTGAAATTTGGTGAAAATTCGTTTATTGGTTCTCTGCCTCCTGAAGTTGGAAAGCTTATACACTTGGTGGATTTCAATGTTTCCCACAACCAAGTTTCCGGAGATATACCCATGTCACTTGCTGATTGTTCAAATCTGGAGAATCTTTCCATGCAAGCCAATTTTTTCCAAGGAACAATTCCACCAAATTTGGCTTCTTTGAAGAGCATCCAGCAAATAGACCTTTCAAGTAATAACTTGACTGGATCAATACCAAAAGAACTTGAGAAGCTTCAATTTTTGAGGTACTTAAACCTTTCCTACAACGACATCGAGGGAGAGATACCGAACAGAGGGATTTTCATCAATGCAAATCAAATATCATTGATTGGCAACAACAAACTCTGTGGAGGCATTCCAGAATTGGAGTTCCCACCTTGCCCAGTTATCAGAGGGAAAAACAGAGGAAAGCTGAAGGTTATCATATTGCTGTCCATTCTTTTACCGGCAACGCTCCTGGTTCTTGGTACAGCGTTGTTATATTTCTTCGTTTGTCAAAAAGGAGAAAGAAAAATGGCAGCCGGATTCTTTAGCATGCCCACAAGAGTCGATAAGCTCCTGCGAATTTCTTACCATGAACTTCATCGCGCAACTTCAGGATTTTCTCCAGAAAACTTGATTGGTTCAGGAAATTTTGGAGCTGTCTACAAAGGAAGGCTAGAAAAACATGGCAGCAAGCTTGTAGCAGTCAAAGTTCTTGATCTTCAAAAGAATGGGGCTTCCAAAAGTTTTAAGGCCGAGTGCAAAACATTGAGAAATATTCGCCATAGAAACCTCGTCTCTATTGTGAGTTATTGCTCCAGTATTGATTCCAAGGGTGATGAATTCAAAGCTCTAGTCTATGAGTATATGGAAAATGGAAATCTGGACCTGTGGCTGCATCCGGAGACAGCTGATCAAGCAACAAGCTCAAGAAGCCTTAGTCTTTCTCAGAAGCTGAATATTGCAATTGATGTGGCTTCAGCATTGCAGTATCTTCACAACCACTGTGAAGCAGAGATTGTTCATTGTGATCTAAAACCAAGTAACATTCTTCTTGACAATGATCTTGTAGCACATGTGGGTGATTTTGGATTGGCAAGGCTTCTCCCGAAACCCACCAACATATCTTCCGAGCAAGGAACCAGCAGTACTATTGCTATGAAAGGAACAATCGGTTACGCTGCCCCAGGTAAATACAAACTTTTATGGTCAAGATGTCACTTAAATTGTGCACAAACTATTAAGGTTTAGACACAAAAAATAGGGCAAATTATATTTTACCCCCATATGGTTTAGTATCTTTTGTACATAACCTCCTATGGTTTCAAAAGCTATACATAACCCTGGCATGGTTTGGATTAAAGTGTTAAAGTGACGGAAATGATTTTTCATAATGAAACCTTTACAAATATCGAAATTACACTTGTTTAAAAATTAAAATGGATGAAATGATTAAAGTCTATAAACATAATATATATGACGCATTAATCCTGTGTAATTTTATGTTTTACTATATAACTCTCTTATGATTTAATATTTAACCATATAACCTCCTTATGGCTTTCGAAATATACACATAACCTCCCTGTGATTAATAAATAATTTTCAACTTTACATAGGGGTATTTTTGATATTTTAGGTGACTTCATTATGGATTACAAATTCTGTTACTTTAACACTTTAATCTAAATTATGAGGGGATTATATATAATTTTTAAAACTATAGGGGGTTATGTACAAAAATACTAAATTACAGAGGGATAAAGTGTAATTTGCCTCTTTAACTCATTCTTTATTTCATTGTGAAGCGGAGTAAAGAACTTTGGGAGATATAATAGCTGATTCTTTTTATTTTTTTCCCTTCTCAATGTCATGTCACACATTCTCTCTTCTCATCTCGTTTAGCATATTTAGAATAACTTTTTAAAATCACTTTTATCTCATTCTTTGATTTTTAAATATGTATATATATATATATATATATATATATATATATATATATATTATTTGTTTGTCATTTATCATTTTCAACCCTTGATTTATCATATCATTTGATAATTTCATGAATAATCAAACTCGCAGAGTATAGGTTAACAAATATATTCATATGGAAATAGCTGTACTGTTGCATTGTTTTGGGATAATGCTGTTTCGTTCCTTAAGATTCTTGTTCAGAGATTTAAAAGGAGTAAATTTTAAACTCTTTCTCCCAAGTTCTATGATCTGTTGATCTCATTTTTCTATGGGATAACAGAGAAAATATACATAGAGCTTTAATGTTAACGTACATTTTGAACTAACAAACCACATTAATAATTCAATAATTCAAAATTCAAATTGAAACTAATATGAACTAACAATAGGGTAAAATAAGAAGGATAAAGTTTGTATACATTGACACAAGCGATGTTGGATGTATGGCAGCTAATTACCATTTGAAAATTGAATGTTATGTTTGACATAGGTGGCACGCATCTAAATCCACTTGTGTATACGCTGCTAGTGAATACAAAATTTATCCAAACAAGAAAAATATACATATTATTGGAACAAGTGGCAAGAAAATAGTGGCATGTCCACTATGGAGAAGAAAATAAAAAAGCAAGCAAAAATGAAAAATAAAAAAAGATGAGAAATAGCAAATAAATTCATGTCCTTAGTTTAAAAAAATTGTAAATGACTTTTTGTCAGGTTCTTGGATGATATACTCTGTATATTGACAGTTAGTTTTAAGAAGTAACTTATTGATAAAACGATTTTCGGGGACAATAAGCAATTGACCCAGCTTCGTAGTGATTCACTTTTAACAATTTCAGTTACGTCTCATTTACGAACTAGTACTTAGTAGCTATGTTTAATTTACCCCAATCTAACAATTGATTCAGTTTCAGTCCCTTACATAATTTTCCCTATTATCTTTAGTTTTTCTTGTACAACGTAACAATAATATATCTAAAAACAAAAATACAGAGTACGGAATGGGTGTTGCGGCATCAACTCTGGGGGATGTCTACAGCTATGGAATTCTTTTGCTGGAGATGATCACAAGGAAAAGGCCAACAGATGATATGTTCATGGACGAGCTTGATCTACATAATTTTGTTAATAGAGCCTTGTCTGGACACGTTTATGAGATCGTGGACCCTTTGCTTCTGTCTAAAGCAGGTGATGAAAACAAAAGAACGACTGCTGGAGGGGATGAAACTGATGGTGGAAGGAAGATGGATTGTGTTATTTCCCTGTTGAAAATCGGGCTCAAATGCTCAGAGAAATCGCCAAATGATCGGATGCACATGAATGAAGTAGTCGGAAAATTGCATCATATTAAGGATGTTTTTCTTGGTGTCAGGGCATATCAAAAAAATCTTGAAGCTTCATAGCCACAGGTACATACAAGATTTTAATACGGTTCACAAGTTGGAAGTTCATTTCTTCTATATTTTAGATAAGCAATTTCATTCTTGATATAGTCTTACAAGCTAACTCATTCTTTTATTCAGAATCTATTTTAGCCAAAAGCAAAAGGAAAACAAAACAAAAGTTATGTTTTGTGCTCAGTAGAGTGGAAAAAGGATGTCTTCTTGCAGGTACTAATGCATAAAATCTTGATTTGCAGCTGTTTGTTTGTTGGTCTGAGTCTCCGAGCTGAAGTTGCTAGTCTGATGAGTTGATAACGAAGACACCTTTTGTTGAATTGTCAAGCATTGCGGCTTGACTTGTGGCAAAATTTTTTGTCTCACGTCAGATGCTGCGTAAGGAAGTTATTCTTCCTTTCATCCCACATCGCAGTAAATAGCAGGAAAGGCTCCGATAGAGAGCCTATAAATAGAAGAGGCCTCTGAAGGTTTTAACTCGCACCACTCAAGAAAGTTATATGGGTTATTAGTTTCTTGAGTCATCTAGCCCATTCAGTTAAATATTTTAGGCTCTCTTGTTTTGAGTTTAGAAATATTTTCTAAACTCTTTTGTAAGTGCCTATTGGCCTAGGAACCACTTTCCTACGGCTTTTGTATTTCTTCTTCATAATAGAAATATTGCTCCTCCCTCGCCCGTGGACGTAGGTCAATTTGACCGAACCACGTAAATCTTCTGTGTCTTTTTATTTGCTTTGTTATCCGTCTTTATATGGTCGGTTTTACCGCCTAATTATTATATGGCTGGTATCTACCACCTATCTATTATATGGTCGGTTATACCGCCTAATTTGTGCTAACTTGAGTTTGTCTATTTCCTGGCCCGGTCCTAACAAAATGGTATCAGAGCTGGTTGTTATATTTTGCAAGACAGGTTCATCTGGTGGGGCCCGTTCATCTGGTGGGGCCCGTCCATCCTGTGGGGCCCACTCATCCTGTGGGGTCCGTTTATCTGTAGGGCCTACTCACCTTTTGGGGTCCGTTCATCCCCGTGGGGCCCGCCTATCTCGTGGGGCCCGCTCACCCTGTGGGGCCCGCTCTCGAGACTTGCATATTTGTTTGGCCAGTTTTTTGAGACAAACTTCAGGTTACAGATTTTGTGGCAACAATGACGATAACAAAGACGGTTGTCGAGAAATTCGACAGGAATGTCAATTTCGGCATGTGGCAGCTTAAGATGGAGGCCATTCTTGTTCAAGACGGAGTTGACTTGGCAATTCAAGGAATTGAGAAAAAGCCAGAAGATGTGACAGATGCAAATTTTGCTGTGATGGATAAGAAGGCAAGATCCAGCATAATCCTAAATCTCTCCGATGAGGTATTGCGTGAGGTAGCAACGGAGACTTCGGCCAAGGCTATGTGGGATAAATTGAAAGCCTTGTATATGAAGAAGACAGTCGAGAATCGGCTATATTTGAAGCAGAGTTTGTACATGCTTCGGATGTCTGAAGGTACATCTATACTCTCCCATCTTGATAAATTTGATTCCATTATTATGGATTTGGAGAATATAGATTCGAAAATTGATGATGAAGATCAAGCCCTATTACTTTTGTGTTCCCTTCCCCAATCTTTTAAGCATTTTCGTGATACTATGATATATGGAAAGGAAACAATTTCATATCGGGAAATTAAATCTGCATTAAAATCTAAAGAGCAGATTGATAGGGATATTATTGGGGAAACTAGTGGGAGTCAAGCCGATGGCTTGTTTGTTCGGGGTAGATTTGAAAAGAGAAACACAGAAAATAGAAGTAGATCCAAGTCCAGACATAAAAATGTGGTGTGCAACTATTGTAAAAAGAAGGGCCACATTATCTCTGATTGCTTTAAATTGAAAAATAAAGAAAAGCAAAAGGAGAAAAGGAGTGAAACCACCGAGGCTAGTATTGCCGTTGATGAGAATGATGGAACTATTTTCTGTGCAACAGAAAATAATTTTAGGTCTAACAATGAGTGGATTTTAGATTCGGGTTGTTCATATCATATGTGTCCCAATAAGGCCTGGTTTTCAACATATGAATCAACTGAAGGTGGAGTTGTCTTAATGGGCAACAACGCTGTTTGTAAAGTTGTTGGCAAAGGCACAATCCGGATTAAAATGTACGATGGTATTGTGAGGACGCTCACAAATGTTAGACATGTTCCAGATTTGAAGAAAAATCTCATCTCTTTGGGAACTCTTGAGTCTATCGGGTGCAGGTATTCAGGTGGAGATGGAATTCTCAAAATCACTCGAGGAGCTCTTGTTGTTATGAAGGCACACAGATCTGGTACTTTGTATATTTTGCAGGGATCTACTGTTACAGGTGCTGCTGCTGTTTCAACATCATCTTTGACAGATACAGACATCACCAAATTATGGCATATGCGTTTGGGGCACATGAGCGAAAAAGGCTTGGGTATACTAAGCAAAAGAGGACTTCTTTGTGGACAAAGTACCGGTCCATTGGAATTCTGTGAACATTGTATTTTTGGGAAGCAGAAAAGAGTCAGCTTCAGTTCACCAGCAATTCACAAGACAAAAGGTACTCTTGATTACATTCATTCAGATCTATGGGGTCCTTCTCGTGCTCCTTCAAAAGGTGGTGCCAGGTACATGTTGACTTTCATTGATGATTACTCAAGGAAAGTTTGGGTCTATTTTCTTAAGCATAAAAATGATGTTTTCTTAACTTTCAAGCAATGGAAAGTTTTGATTGAGAAACAAACAGGAAAACATGTTAAGCGGTTGAGAACAGATAATGGCATGAAATTTTGTGAAGGTGAATTTAATGAATTTTGTAAGAATGAAGGAATTGTTCGACATCACACCGTCAGAATGACGCCTCAACAAAATGGTGTGGCCGAACGTATGAACAGAACGCTTTTGGAGAGAGCAAGGTGTATGATCTCCAATGCAGGGTTGACAAACGACTTTTGGGCAGAGGCGATCAATATGGCCTGTTATATTGTCAACCGTTCTCTTTCTGCATCTCTTGATTTCAAAACTCCTGAGGAAGTTTGATCAGGTACTCCTGCTGATTACTCCAATTTAAAAGTTTTTGGGTGTCCAGCATACATGCACGTGAATGATGAAAAATTGGAGCCTAGGGCTAAAAAGTGCATTTTTCTTGGGTATGCTTTTAGGGTGAAAGGATACAGATTATGGTATCCTGATCCCAAATCCCCAAAATTTGTAATCAGTAGAGATGTTACTTTTGATGAATTGTCTATGTTATCTTCCAAGAAGGAGTCTTCTAGTCCTTGTACTACTGATAGTACACAGAAGCAGGTGGAGCTTGATATTGGCAGTTCTGGTCCTTCTCAATCCAAATCTTCTATTCAGCAAGTGCCAGTAGATGCACTTGTATCTACTATTGAAGATAGTTCAGAAGAAGAGGAGTATTTCATAGCCAGAGATAGACAAAGGAGAGACATTCGACCACCACAAAGATATGCAAATTTAGTTGCATATGCTTTATCTGTTGCAGAAGAAACTGATGCAGTTGGTGAGCCTTCCACCTATTTAGAAGCAGTTTCTTGTGATGATTCTGCAAAGTGGTTGATTGCGATGAATGAAGAAATTGAATCTCTTCATCAGAATGAAACTTGGGTTCTTGTAAAGCCGCCGTCAGCTAAGAAAATTGTTGGTTGCAAGTGGGTCTTCAAGAAAAAGGAAGGTATTCCAGGGGTTGAAGATGCAAGATATAAAGCACGATTGATTGCAAAGGGCTATAGTCAGGTACAAGGTGTTGATTTTAATGATATATTCTCACCTGTTGTTAAACATAGCTCTATTCGTGTTTTGCTTGCTTTAGTTGCCATGTATGATTTGGTGTTAGAGCAGCTTGATGTTAAGACAGCTTTCTTGCATGGCGAACTTGAAGAACAAATTTATATGAGACAACCCCAGGGTTTTGAAATTGAAGGTAAGGAAGACCATGTTTGCTTGTTGAAGAAATCCTTATATGGATTGAAGCAGTCTCCAAGACAATGGTATAAAAGGTTTGATTCCTTTATGTTGGGTCATGGTTATTTGAGGAGCATGTATGATAGCTGTGTTTACTTCCGGAAGTTAAATGATGGTTCTTTCATTTATTTGCTGCTTTATGTTGATAACATGCTCATTGCTGCCAAGAATTTGTCAGAAATTCACACTTTGAAACTGCAATTAAATAGTGAATTTGAAATGAAAGATTTAGGAGCAGCTAAGAAAATTCTTGGCATGGATATTAAGCGAGATCGAGGAGTATAAAAGTTGTTCTTGACCCAGAAAAATTACCTTGAGAAAGTCTTGGAGCGTTTTGGCATGAAAGATGCTAAACCAGTATCTACTCCTCTTGCTAGCCATTTTCAGCTATCTGCTGCTCAATCACCAAAATCAGATGAAGAGGAAGATTATATGACACGGGTTCCTTATTCCAGTGCAGTCGGCAGTGTTATGTATGCAATGGTTTGTACTCGTCCAGATATCTCACAAGCAGTCAGTGTTGTTAGCAGATATATGTCTTGCTCTGGTAAAACACATTGGCAGGCTGTAAAGTGGATTCTCAGATACTTGCGAGGTACTTCAAATGCATGTTTGGAGTTTGGAAGAAATAATAATACTTTGGTTGGTTTTATAGATTCAGACTACGCTGGGGATCTTGACAGGAGAAGATCACTTTCAGGCTATGTATTTTGCATCGGCGGTTGTGCTGTTAGTTGGAAAGCTACTCTACAACCTGTCGTAGCTTTGTCTACTACAGAAGCAGAATATATGGCTGTGACCGAGGTAATCAAAGAAGCCTTGTGGTTGAAGAGTTTATTTAGCGAGCTAAGTCTATATCAAGGTGTTACTGATATTCACTGTGATAGTCAAAGTGCCATACACTTGACTAAAGATCAGATGTATCATGAGAGAACGAAACACATTGATGTGAAGTATCACTTCATTCGGGATATCATTGCCGAGGGAAAAGTCCTTATTCAGAAAATCAATACTAAGGACAATCCAGCCGATATGTTTACGAAACCTCTTCCAGTTTACAAGTTCAAGCAGTGCTTGGATTTGGTTGGTGTTCATTGTTGGTGATTTAACCCCATTGGGGCTTATGTGAAGAAGGTGGAGCAGTTTTACTATTGTCGATGGTGAAACTCAAAATTATGCCAAGGTGGAGATTTGTTGAATTGTCAAGCATTGCGGCTTGACTTGTGGCAAAATTTTTTGTCTCACGTCAGATGCTGCGTAAGGAAGTTATTCTTCCTTTCATCCCACATCGCAGTAAATAGCAGGAAAGGCTTCGATAGAGAGCCTATAAATAGAAGAGGCCTCTGAAGGTTTTAACTCGCACCACTCAAGAGAGTTATATGGGCTATTAGTTTCTTGAGTCATCTAGCCCATTCAGTTAAATATTTTAGGCTCTCTTGTTTTGAGTTTAGGAATATTTTCTAAACTCTTTTGTAAGTGCCTATTGGCCTAGGAACCACTTTCCTACGGCTTTTGTA